GGTAGGGGTAGGGTGAAGTGAGGGTAGGGGTGGCAAGTGGGTGGGGTAGGGTAGAGTGAGGGGTAGGGTAGGGTAAGTGAGGGTGGGGTAGGGTAAGTAGGTAGGGGTAGGGTAAGTGAGGGGTAGGGTAGGGTGGTAAGTGAGGGTAGGGTAGGGTAAGTGAGGGTAGGGTAGGGTGAAGTGAGGGGTAGGGTAGGGTAAGTGAGGGGTAGGGTAGGGTAAGTGAGGGGTGGGGTAGGGTAGAAGTGAGGGTAGGGTAGGGTAAGTGAGGGGTAGGGTAGGGTAAGTGAGGGTAGGGTAGGGTAAGTAGGCAGGGTAGGGTAAGTGAGGGTAGGGAGGGCAAGGAGGGTAGGGTAGGCAAGGAGGGAGGGTAGGGTGAGGGTAGGGTAAGTAAGGAGGGAGGGGTAAGGTAGGAGGGTAAGATGGGTAGGGTAGGGGTAAGTGGAGGTAGGGAAGGAGGTAGGGCAGGGTAAGCAAGGGGAGGGTATGGGTAGAGTGAGGGCAGGGTAGGGGCAAGGCAGGTGCAAGGTAGGGGGTAAGTGAGGGTAGGGGCAGGGGTAAGGAGGTAGGGTAGGGTAAGTGAGGGAGGGGTAAGGAGGGTAGGGTAGGGTGAAGGCAGGGTAGGGTAAGTGAGGGTAAGGTAAGTAGGGTAGGGTAGGGCAAGGTAGGGTGGGGTAAGGTAGGTAGGGGTAGAGGGGAGGGGTAGGGTAGGGTGGGTAAGAGGTAGGGTAGGGTAAGCAAGGTAGGTAGGGTAAGGGAGGGTAGGGGTAGGCAGGGGTAGGGGAGGGTGGGGGTAGGGTAGGTAGAGGGTAGGGTAGGGTAAGGAGGGTAGGGTAGGGAAGCAAGGTAGGGTAGGGTAAGTGAGGGTAGGGTAGGGTAAGGCAGGGCAGGGGCAAGCAAGGTAGGGTAAGTAAGGTAGGGGGTAAGCAGGTAGGCAGGAGGGTAGGTGGGTAAGGAGGGTAGGGGAGGGGGTGAGGTAGGGCAGGGTATGAGGGTAGGGTAGGGTAAGTAAGGTAGGGGTAGGCAAGGAGGGGTAGGGGTAGGGGCAAGTGAGGGCAGGGTAGGGGTAAGGGAGGGTAGGGTAGGGCGTAGGGTAGGGGCAGGGTAAGAAGGAGGTGGGCAGGGTAAGGGTAGGGTAAGGGTAGGGGTAAGGGAGGGGTAGGGTAAGGGTGAGGGAGGGTAGGGGTAAGTGAGGGTAGGTAGGGTGGGGCAGGAGGGTAGGGGTAGGGTAAGTGAGGGAGGGTAGGGGTAAGGGTAGGGTGGAGGGGTAAGGAGGGTAGGGTAGGGCAAGGAGGTAGGGGGAAGAAGGTAGGGTAGGGTAAGAAGGAGGGTGAGGGGTAGGGTAAGGGAGGGTAGGAGGGTAAGTAGTAGGGTGGGGCAGAGGTAGGTAGGGAAGGAGGGCAGGGTAGGCAAGGAGGGTAGGGTAGGGTAAGCAAGGCAGGGGTAGGTAGGCATTGGGGTGAGGTAGGCAAGGAGGGTAGGGTAGGGCAAGCAAGGGAGGGTAGGAGGAGGGGTAGGGTACAGAGGGGTAGGGGTAAGTGAGGGTAGGGTAGGGTAAGGAGGGCAAGGTGGGTAAGTGGAGGGTAGGGTAGGGTATGAGGGTAGGGGTAGGGTAAGGAGGGTAGGGTAGGGTAAGTGAGGGAGGGGTGGGTAGGGCAAGGAGGAGGTAGGGTAAGTAAGGTAGGGTAGGGTGTGAGGGGTAGGGTAAGTGAGGGGTAGGGGTAGGTGGTAAGTGGTAGGGTAGGGCAAGGAGGGTAGGGGCAAGGTAGGGTAGGGTAAGCAAGGTAGGGTAGGGTAAGGAGGGTAGAGTAGGGAAGCAAGGTAGGGTAGGGTAAGCAAGGTAGGTAGTAAGTGAGGGTAGGGTAGGGTAAGTGAGTGTGGCAAGGTAGGGTAAGTGAGGGTAGGGGTAGGTAAGTGAGGGTAGGTAGGGTAAGTAAGGTAGGGTAGGGTAAGTGAGGGTAGGGGTAAGTGAGGTAGGGTAGGGGTAAGTAAGGGTAGGGTAGGGTAAGTAAGGGTAGGGTAGGGTAAGTAAGGGTAGGGTAGGGAAGTGAGGGTAGGGTAGGTTACAGCAGCGTTGCTAGGCTGTGTACAGTTGGCCTCAAAATTTCTAACGTTCTGTGCCATAAAATGACAAAACAAACGAGCAATTAAATTACTTCTTTTCGCCTGTAAAAACTATAAAGGCGAGCAATAAATACCACGAAATATCGAATCACTTCACAACCAGGAATATCAGCCATGGAGATGACACGACCCATCGTGCAAATCTGAGACCTGTCGTACCCAGGGCTGCGTTCAGTTGCACGCGATGTACTCTACGGTACAGTATTTATAGTGAGTTATGGTGCAAACTGAACGATTTGCAGAGTACCATTTTAAACAACTGATAAGTTGTATATTTCCTGTATTTCAATCAAAATAATTATAACAATAATAGTAATAAAGAGAGCGTAGTGTTAAGACTTCCAGTACCTTCCACCATTACAGGCCATCATCTGCTTCTCTCCGCGCTTAACTGTACTGTAGTCTACGGCCAAGACCTTACCCGACACTATAATAGTGATGGTTTGGCTTTCTAATCCGGAAATTGACTTTATTTTCCCACACTTTCCTTCTTTCGGGAACTGCTGGGAGTCTGTACACCTAAATCCTTTGTCTGGCCTACTGCCGCAGCTAAACACACAACATTCCGTTATAATGTAAAGAAGATTCTCCAATTCCTCCATCTGCAACATTGGTCTGAAGGTAACTTGGTGTGGGGCTCACTGCCAGTGCTGCCACAATTCCGCACGCTTTCTCTAGTGATCGTAACATCTAAACATATATGGTATATTGTAGGTATAACTTATTTTATTTTATCTATTCTGCTTATAAGATACAGTACATACAAGTTGCAAATTATAATGTATATCTTTCTGTACTTGGAGAAGCGAGCAGTAGTCTTCATAGAGCGAAGGAAACTTGGAATCGCCGACTACGCTGCCGTTCAGTATAGAAAACGTACTACAATACTACGACCACAACGAATCGCACAACTGTTGCTCGAGAACACTTTTTGCCGACTGTACACACATACTTACATAATTTATTACCATCGGAATTAACGAACAATCATCAAGGTTCACTTACCTCCCACACTTCACTCAGTTGATTGTTTATTTTCACTCTATCAGACAATTATCATTCGTCTGTGTTCCTTTAAGTTATCAACATCTGACGCAACTACAGCGATAATTTGTCCATCTTTGACGACCAGCCAAGCGGCTATCATGCACTCACTCACATTATCTTTCTTAATAACACAGAAACAAGTCATATTCTTCTACTGCTAAATTATCCAGCTGAGGAACGGTCAGTAAGTATGTTTCACTGAATGTAGGAGGTGAATAATACCACATAGTACAGTGAAACACACTGGGCCAGGAGACCATCCACACGCCCTCGTGGTAGCTGATTGACACTGACGGTCACTGATGGCGACAGCGTCACCCACAGGTTTAAACCTCCTGGATTGCCACCTGACTTAATTTAAATTTCAGTGATATTTACAGGTCTGTCATCCATCTAATTCAATTTATTTAACTTATAAAACAGTCATAAAAGTAGATTTTTCCAGCTATTGTTCGCTTGTAGTTATTTATGAAAGTTACGATAAATATTAATGTTTTAGTAAAAATCATCCGTCGACGAGCTGACACTGAAAACGTCAACAAGGTACCAAGTTATCGAACATAAAACTAAAGTATTTTTGTAGAAGAAAAGACGAATCGTTCTCGAAGTAGTGAAACATTGATTTGACATATTAGAAAAAAAAATATTGCTTTTCATTATGTAAATTCAGTTTTTAAATCTTTACAAAATATATATTTAAAGGCAGCAAACACCTGTCCACTACAAATCCTCTTGTTGCTATGTAACACATCCACAGGTGTAATGTTGCCATCACCTAGATTATTATTATTATTATTATTATTATTATTATTATTATTATTATTATTATTATTATTATTATTATTGCCTCTAGGTAGATCTATTACCAAGGTTATTATTAAGCATGGTTCAGTGAGACAGAGAACATGACCTCACAACAACCATCTTTTAATTAATTCTGCTGTCATGAACTCCTGAAACGGCCACTGTAGTTCTATGTATTATTCTCCCAGACACATAATACTTCTATATCTCCGTTTTGATTCACTTAATTTATCATTTACGAAAATATGTCAAGCGTATGACCGTCTGTTTAGTTTGTTCGTGTTGAAGCACATAAGGCGTTCTTTCTTCCCAACTTTACCCCCACCATATTATTCGCCACTATCTTACTAGCCATATTATTCGCCACTGTCTTACTCGCCATATTATTCGCCACTGTCTTAATCGCCATAATATTCGCCATTATCTTACTCGCCATAGTATTCGCTATTGTATTCGCAATGATCTTACTCGCCACTTTATAACTCGCCATTAAATTATTCGTCTCAATATAACTCGAAACCCAACTATTCGCCACTATATTACTCGCCACCATATCATCTGTTAAGAACTTACTCGCCAGAAACTTACTCCTCATATTACTCGCCACTATAAAAGGACAGAGGGTAAGATAGAGTTGACCAGAAACGGTCACCCACCAGTGACCACCATACTACAGTGACCACCATACTACAGTGACCACCATACTACAGTGACCACCTTACTACAATGACCCGCACCTCACCAAGTAAACACCTGATTCATATATATACACGAATATTATCTATTCATATATTTCATTATTTTTGTATGTATTATAATTTTACATGAAGGTTTCATGCGTGTATTAAACTGTACCATAATTTTTTTTGAAATGGTTAAACATTATTTTGCTAGATTTAATCAAATGTTTTAGTCATTCCAATTTAAATGACAGATGCCGTGAAGCTAATTTAATTTTTTTAGTATATTTTAGCGAGAAGACAGGACACTATACTTCACTGTAGTATTGTTGTTGTTATCTACAGTGATGTCGGCGAATGAGTCGGCCGCACAGACGACAGAGCTCCTGTCAACGCACAACTATACCGACTGTTGTGTTGAGAGTGGCGTTGCTCCCCAGTGCCTTGGCTTCTGCGCCATCCACAATATCTTGGAAGGAAATACTGGGATAGACCCAGAAGCTTGTGAATCACACTTCCCAAATATAGTGAAATGTATGGCAGGTGAGTTGTCCTCCCTTGTAAGGTGCGTTAACAGGTAATTTACGGGGCTTAATTAGAGATTTTAAGTAATAATATCTATATCTATAAATAATAACCTAACCTAAGCAAAAATACTCCATTATAATTACATTCCTCCACCTATATTACATCTACAACCTTAACGTGTGTGTGTGTGTGTTGGTGTCCACAGATAGACGTAACCATGTACCGTGTTGTGAGCGAGAGAGAGTGCCGGACATCTGCCAGGATCTGTGTCGCGGGGAGTACACATTACAAGACGATAACATACAGTCTCATTCTCCCACAGCGTACACAAGCGTTACCCTCATGTGTATCTCTGAAGGTGTCGGTAAGTTAAACTGGTGCTCTGTGTGTGTGTGTGTGTGTGTGTGTGTGTGTGTGTGTGTGTGTGTGTGTGTGTGTGTGTGTGTGTGTGTGTGTGCTTTTTTCATTATAATTTTCTTACTCTGCTTCATTATATAAAAATAAATGAACGCAGACACTCAGTAATGGAGCGCGAAGGTCGAGTGGATACAGAACTCGTTCCAGTATTCGGTGAATCGAGTCCTGGTACTCCCACTTCATCCAGATGTAAATGGGAAGTGAAAGCGGTCGAGTGCAGTACCGGCCATGCTGCATCCTTGTGTACCGAAGGCTTAGTGCACAGTGTGCTGTATCCACACTGTCTCTAACGGACAGTCACTTTCACTCGATGATGGATAGATGTACAGTAATATCTATGAGGATTTTAACTCGATTCTCCATCTCATAAGAAGAAAAAAAACCCTGATTTATATGATTTATTTATCAAAACAAAGTAGAGTTTCGTGGAGCATTTCGAAAACTTGTATTTTCTCTCTCTTGTGAAGTTACGATAATGACTAGTGTGCCCTTACAGAGCTGCTGCCTATGAGCCCCACGTCTCCCTCCGTGATGGTGCTGGACTCTACCTCCATCAAGGTCGGGGAACATCCTCAAGTTGGTTCACCTCCACCTGAGTACTACTTGATCAACGTCACCACCATTACTAAGTGAGATTCCAGGGGATGATACCTGGTGGGGACTGGGACGCCACACAAATATACATACAGACATTCCTAAAACTCGGTGAATATACACTCAAGAACATTCACGGACACAGTCACTATACTGTACGCTGAATCACGATTAATCATCATCTATACAAATTTTCGTACGTACTCGTATGGTTGCCTACCTGGTACAATGGCTAGGGCATTTTGTGAGATGTGGCACCTTTGTGTTTGTTTACATCATATTAAAACTCCCAGAATGACCCAAAGGAACCTCACAATAGTAGCCAGACTAAGGATGGTAAATAAGCATTCCACTGAGTTGCCACATCTCACAAAACGTGTGAGCCAGCCACTGTACCAGGTATAAATGTAGGCGACAGTACATCATACTCACTGTAACTGGTAAAACGTCCCCAGTGTTTAATAACTTATATAAGGAAAGTTACTTCGTCTGACAAGTGTTCTGTGGTCTGCTTCCTCAGGTTTGATCCACCGGTAGATGTTGACAGTGACACTGCAGTTACTGTTAGTGGTGAGACTATGGACACCCAGGACGACCTACAGTACCTGCCCAAGAGACTACAGGTGAAGGTGAGCTGACTGAATCTCTGAAAGATTATCTATCTAGAGTAGTGAAGCCTCTCTCTCTCTCTCTGAAAAACAAACATTCGTCAACTTCTTCATGGCTACATCATTACGACCACCCTAACTCCTCTCTCCTCCAGGTGTCAGCTAGTCAAACTAACGTGAGCGTCAGCAGCTTGTCGCCGCTGACCTGGTACGAGGTGTCAGTGGTCTCCTTAAACAGACACGGCCTTCTGCCACAATACAAAATCCGGATCCTTACCGAGGCTGTCACCTCCAACAAAACTGAAGTGATCCATCCTGAGCTGCCAGACATTATGGATGCTGCTCAAACAAAGGCGTCAAGCACTTCAGGTAGGACGAGCAGACCTCTTTCAGTGTGTGTGTGTGTGTGTGTGTGTGTGTGTGTGTTCACCCTCGTCATACAGGATCAAAGGGGGGTAGTACTTCACTTCCGTAATTAAGGACATACTGCTCAGATATCGTCATACCGAATATGCAAATTATGTAATTAATTTTAAAGATAAGAACACCAACACGGGGAGGACAACCTGAACCCAGAAACAATACAACCGATGCGAAATGTTCATGATTGAGCTATTAAAATGAACACACAATAATGTTACTGAGAAAATGTTTGGACACCATTAATATTACAATGATACGGATACAATGTGTTATCAAGCTATGTAATAAAACTGTTACAACTAGTTCATCATTCTGAAATACTTGATTGTTGAACAGTTAACGTTTTGTATTGTTAACTGAATAGGTTTTGTATTGTTAACTGAATAGGTTTTGTATTGTTAACTGAATAATTGAATAGTGTTGTGTGGTTGACAGTACTACAGTCAGGGCGCTGGGAGCTATCGAAAGTAAATCTTCCTATTCAGTGTAATTTTTTCCTTCAGAATCATACATAATTTTGTCTTTTTTTTCTATTATGTCACTCCAACTGTCAGAAGTACAGTCACTAAATAAAACTATCTGTACTTGGGGTGATCGATGAATTTCACAATGAACACTGTGACTCCTGTTGTCTTGGTAGGGTTGTAAAAATTCTTCATCCATTGTGTGATATTGTCTCAACACAATTTTATATAGCTATTTTTTTTAGTAACTGTATGTCTAAATCTAGAAACATGTTAGCCATTATTTCCTTATTTCTACCACATGGTCATCCTAGCATCAGTCTCTTACAACCTAAAACACAACAACAACAACACTCTCTTGCTGTCACAGAGAACCTTCCTCTTCATTTACTGCCTCTAACGTCTTGTATTCCCGACATTCTTGTAAAGTTTATTTGACTGATCCATACTGTTGTTGCCTCAGGTTGCCCCATAACGTAGCATCACCAACCATTGTGTGCTATCCAAGTTCTCCCTCAATACTCCGTGATTGTACAATTCTGTTTCTATTCAGTCTTCCTCCCATCTCCATCATTTCATACAATAATGTTATCTTCATCAGGGAGACTCGACTGTATATCATGTATCTGGCAGTTCTGCTCTCTTGAGAAACACGTCGTCAGCACTTTACTCAGAATCATTTAAGTTTCTTGGTTCACGTCGCAGATTTCATAATGTCTTCGAACTTTCTTTCCATAGTTATTCTAATTAACTTTGTTCTCTATAAGGGGGTAAAACTCCTAGCACAGTGTAACATGTAGTGACTGCTGACTTCCTCCTTGAAATACTGTCTGTCTTTGAGGGAGTGGTGTGAGCAGTGGTTGATGAAGGGCCGGGCATAGAGACATCGTATTCATCTTGTATGAAACATTTTTAAGTCTTCATTTGTCATGTCTTTCTTGCTCCTGCCGCCAGCCTCTCATTTCATTCCTACTAACGTCTCCAAATGTTTCCTTCCATCTCGTTCACTCCAGTCTAGTCTTCACTTGAAAAGGAAATGTATATCCACGCCTTACCCAAGTAACCAAAATAATTACATTTCATGATTTTTAAAACACTCTGGCAGCTGAAACACATTAGTGCAAGACCTCCTAATATCAAACTTAATCTTTCTTCCCTTTTTAGCCTTTCATTTTTATCATTTCAAGCACAATCGCCTGCACTTATACCTGGTGCAGTGGCTGGGGCTTTTTGTGAGATGTGGCAACTCTCTGGAATGCTCATCTATATCTAATATTGTGGGGTTCCTTAGGGGCCATTCTGGGAGTTTTATTGCGATTTAAACAAACACAGTTGCCACATCTCACAAAATGCACCAGCCACTGTACCAGGTATAAGTGCATTTTCGCCATCATCCAGCCTCATCCTCCACCCCTACACCAGTGTTTTAACCATTTTAAATTGATGATCCGAAAGTTTGTACTTAATTTAGTCGACGAAAAAGACTAAACTGCTAATAATGATATTTAGTGAGAATAATATAGATACAAATTAACAGCAATATTAAGATAGCTGGCCGAGACTTACAAGTGGTGTATTGTGTTACGAAGTTCGCCTTATGTTCAACACAACATTTGAGTAAGTTTTAGTGTGATTTGGTTCTTACCTATTAGAAAAAACCCACAGGGCGAGGAGTTAACCTTGAACCACCTTGAAACTAACAGATCTGATTCTTTATGAGAGTTTTACCAGTGTTCGGGTCACTGATGTCAATTGTCACATATTTCATCATAAAAACGTATTTTCTTTATACGAGAGACTTTGATATTTGCTTCTGATTGTATCCACGAACCACAAAAAAGGTTATAGTGTGACCCTGTGTTTAGTGACTCAACTTATCCTAGGTTATCACATGACAGTATAATTATTATCGTTCACCGGCTCGTCTCACTTTGTTCATCACCAATTCCTGTTAATGCTGGCATCGATAATTGCAGAATCTAATAGTGCATTACGAGGGGCCATCATCCCTGCACTCTTCACTGATGAGAATGTGTTGATGGTTATAGCTAGCAGTGACACATGAGGTATATCCCCATTCCCCAGTCCACTCCCTCAACACTTCACTGGCCTCACCTTTATTACCTCCAGTACCTGTGTCATCTTACCCAACTAAATGTAATACCCAAAATATATCTTTACGATTTTTATGTGAGACAATATGACACAACAGACGAAAGATTCTGACAACCCTACCGAGACAACAGGAGTCACAGTGTTCATTGTGAAATTCATCGATCCTCTCCGTGAAGATAATTTTTTGGGGGGCGAGTTATACATGTGAAATAGTTTCTTTTATCGGCTGTGTTGGTACTGTATATGTCCCAGTATTAATGGTGGTAGTTGTTGTTGTTGGTATATGTCCCAGTATTAATGGTGGTAGTTGTTGTTGTTGCATATGTCCCAGTATTAATGGTGGTAGTTGTTGTTGTTGGTATATGTCCCAGTATTAATGGTGGTAGTTGTTGTTGTTGGTATATGTCCCAGTATTAATGGTGGTAGTTGTTGTTGGTATATGTCCCAGTATTAATGGTGGTAGTTGTTGTTGTTGGTATATGTCCCAGTATTAATGGTGGTAGTTGTTGTTGTTGGTATAGTCCCAGTATTAATGGTGGTAGTTGTTGTTGGTATATGTCCCAGTATTAATGGTGGTAGTTGTTGTTGTTGGTATATGTCCCAGTATTAATGGTGGTAGTTGTTGTTGTTGGTATATGTCCCAGTATTAATGGTGGTAGTTGTTGTTGTTGGTATATGTCCCAGTATTAATGGTGGTAGTTGTTGTTGTTGGTATATGTCCCAGTATTAATGGTGGTAGTTGTTGTTGTTGGTATATGTCCCAGTATTAATGGTGGTAGTTGTTGTTGTTGGTATATGTCCCAGTATTAATGGTGGTAGTTGTTGTTGTTGGTATATGTCCCAGTATTAATGGTGGTAGTTGTTGTTGTTGGTATATGTCCCGGTATTAATGGTGGTAGTTGTTGTTGTTGGTATATGTCCCAGTATTAATGGTGGTAGTTGTTGTTGTTGGTATATGTCCCATTAATGTGGTAGTTGTTGTTGTGGTATAGTCCAGTATTAATGGTGGTAGTTGTTGTTGTTGGTATATGTCCCAGTATTAATGGTGGTAGTTGTTGTTGTGGTGGTATATGTCCCAGTATTAATGGTGGTAGTTGTTGTTGTTGGTATATGTCCCAGTATTAATGGTGGTAGTTGTTGTTGATATGTGTATTAATGGTGTTTGTTGGTATATGTCCCAGTATTAATGGTGGTAGTTGTTGTTGTTGGTATATGTCCCAGTATTAATGGTGGTAGTTGTTGTTGTTGTATATGTCCCTGTTTATATGTCCGTATTAATGGTGTAGTTTTGGATATGTCCCAGTATTAATGGTGGTAGTTGTTGTTGTTGGTATATGTCCCAGTATTAATGGTGGTAGTTGTTGTTGTCTTAGTATGATGATAGTAGTAGCTGATGATGTATAATGAACCATTAACGTATTTCTCTTTACATTCTCCTTAAAACACACCATTAATTCTGAGTACAGATATTTACATTGGTACAGTTCTACTCTCTCTCTCATCATCATCATCGTCTATTCTCCCGATCTCTTTCATTTAGTATTTTTTCTTATTCTCTCTTGCACTGCCTCCATCCCTCTTCTCCTCTACCCTTCCTCATTAATCTCAAGTCTTTCACATTCCTGGTACTAACCCTTACATACATTTGAGAGTTTCCCTTCAACAAATTGTCGCCTTGTTCGATGAGTTGGGTCTCCCGTGCTATTGGTAAAGACTCGACAAAGGGCCATCTGCTTGTTTATACCTGTACCTGCCCAAGACCACACCACACCTGTATTGATTGAGGAACTGAGCAATATACCAGAATTCCTCCTTTTCTTCCTATTTCTCTATTCCCATCTATCCACCCCCCTCTTACTCTCTCCCCTACCCCTTCCCTCCTCCTCCTCCTCCTCCTCCTCCTCCCCTCCTCCTCCCTCTTTACTACTGAAACGGATATTTTTTATATTTGGTTAGAAGAACGACACATGGTATAGGCGAATGGGTGAAAATAAATAAAAGAATAAATGGAAGGAAAATAGATGATGGGATGAATAGAAGGAAAATGAATAATGAAATAAATAAAAGGAAAATACAATAAATGTAGGATAAATAAATGATAAAATATAATAAGAAATAAAAGTGTAAATAAATATATACACACGCATACTGGCGCGCACACACACACACACACACACACACACACACACACACAGACACAGACACACACACACACACACACACACACACACACACACACACACACACACACACACACACACACACACACTAGCCAGGGTCCAGAGCCTCAAACATCCTTTAGGTCAATTTAATCCCCTAAGTAGTGTTATGAACATATCTACTGTAGTTAAGGCAGCGTCTCATAACAATTCTGATGCCAATTTAGACGTTATTACTGTACTTAGGTGAATTAAGTCAGTTATTTATGGTTTCGTGTCTTCACTTACGAGGGTAACTTACCGTACGAACCTTTGAGAATTGTCAGTCATAGAATGTGATTATCAAGTAGCTTTTTTTTATCGGTGTGTGTGTGTGTGTGTGTGTGTGTGTGTGTGTGTGTGTGTGTGTGTGTAGTACAATAGCTAACCCATGTAATAACGTTTTACCTTTAAGTTTATGTGTGTGTGTGTATGTGTACAGGTGTTCACGTAACCTGTGTGACCCCAGCAACAAGTACATCAGTGAGCCAGACATGATCGTGTGCGCTCCCTGGGCTACCGAAGCCTTCTCCTGCCTCGCCAACGACTACGACCACTCCGACTGCTGCAGAGACCGTGGGATGCCGGCCCTCTGTGTCGAACTCTGCACGGGAAATGTCACCAAGATCGACTACAAGTATTTCAGGTAATGATGATTCTATACCCGGGTTGTTGAGGGTAAATTGGCCTATTTCCTTAATTTAGACGCCTCGGTTACTACTCGTGGGTAGTTAACAGGTTAATTGATGGTGATATATGGAAATTCATACAATGAGTTAGTTTGTTGACTTTGAGATTATAAAGACACACACACACACACACACACACACACACACACACACACACACACACATCTACGGTTCTATAAAAAAAAATTACATCCTACAACCTAACCTAACCTAACCTAATCTAACCTAACCTAACCTAACCTAACCTAACCTAACCTAACCTAACCTAACCTACAAATTAAAGATCATGACACCTTTTTAATTATTATTTTTTTCCTGTGTCAGATGTGTGGATTACTTCAGCGACTACCGAAGTTGTTTAATGAAGGGTTACAACGTGCTACCAGGTCCACCACTCAAAGTCACCGTCAGTAACACTAACCCGACCTTGTGCTTCTCCATTGGTCTCCGCCGGAAAAGCTTGGAGAATCCGTCACAGCTTACCACGCTTATTTCCGGCCAATCGAACCATCTAGGGAATGTGCTGATAAATGGTAAGTTATAAATTAAATTTATTTGTGTATTGAAACATTACACCGGGTACTATGAGGGTAGGTAGGGGTAGGGTAGGGTAGGGTAGGTAGGGTAAGGTAGGGAAGGTAGGGGTAGGGTAGGTAGGGTAGGTAGGTAGGGAGGGGTAGGGTAGGGTGTTAATTGGAGGTGTGATGGGCGTCATAACACAGGTGTAAGTGTCAAGGTATGGGAGGGTGGTCAAGGGAACTAATCTAGATAAAAGCAGTTTGTGGTAATGACTGGCAGTGAGAGAGAGAGAGAGAGAGAGAGAGGAGAGAGAGAGAGAGAGAGAGAGAGGCGAGAGAGGAGAGAGAGAGAGAGAGAGAGAGAGAGAATATACAATTGTTGGGTTAAAATGTGTTGTTTTATCCCCGGGCTCTGAGTGTTAGTGTAGGTTAAGTAACATAATCTAGATTACTCTGTGATGACTGACACACATACAGTGAATATTCTACCGGGTGATTTTGCCAATGATGGAACAGACCCTCAGTAGTGACGCGTCCTGCCAATAGCACGAGGGCACAAGCTGCTAAATGGTGATTCCAATTAGGAGGACAACACCTGACTGGCTACCTTATGTCATAGCAGGAACAAGCTTGACTATATTGTGTTTGTGTATTACTTTATATATATATAAATAACTCCGACAAAAACTCCCTCTCACATAACCGTATTATCACTTAAGAGGTAGGTGTGTGTGTGTGTGTGTGTGTGTGTGTGTGTGTGTGTGTGTGTGTGTGTGTGTGTGTGTGTGTGTGTGTGTGTGTGTGTGTGTGTGTGTGTGTGTGTGTACATGGATGACAACAGCGCGGTAATCACGTCTTCACCTCACCAGGTTCATCAACAACATGGTGGTGTCTTATCATGGCGTGTACACAGAGAAGCCACCATTCGTGCTGGAACAACTGTGTCCCAACACTGAGTATGAAGTGTTCGTGCAGGCTGTCAACACCCACGGTACAGGCGACCCATCGGAGCGGGTCTTGTTCAACACGCCCTCCATACAGCACGTCAGGAGGCTAGAGGACAGAACCTACAACGTGACTGAGTGCTGCCGAAGCGTCAACGTCAGTCCTGGCTGTATGCCCATGTGTGACTACAACGCCCGTATGTCTCACGTGCGGGCTATAGCAGTCACCTGTACCAAGGAGCTGCCTCTCCTACTAAGGTGTGCGGTGGGCGGTCGTAACCACCTGCCCTGCTGCCAGAGACGCGGGGTGCCACCTGCCTGCCTCAACATCTGCTCCGGTTCCTTTTCCTCCAACAAAGTCACGCCAGCTGTTTGTATGCCGTACATCGGTAACATTATGATGTGTCTTGAGGAAGGTGAGTCATGTCTGTGTCATGAGGGGAGTGGGGAGGCCGTGAGGGGGGGAGGTCATGAGGAGAGTGGGGGGAGGTCATGAGGAGGAGTGGGGGAGGTCATGAGGGGGAGTGGGGAGTGTCATGAGGAGGAGTGGGGAGGCCATGAGGGAAGTGGGGGAGGTCATGAGGGAAGTGGGAGTGTCATGAGGGGGGAGTGGGGAGGTCATGAGGGTAGTGGGGAGGTCATGATGGGGAGGTCATGAGGGGGGAGGGGGAGGCTGAGGGGTAGTGGGGAGGCTTGAGGGAAGTGGGGAGTGGTCATGAGGGGGAGGAGGGAGGTCATGAGGGAGGCGGAGTGAGGGAACTACACAATTCGGTAATATATGAGAACAAGATATGAACAAGTAATCATAGTTAGCACTGTCGTAATAACACCTAACCTAACCTAACCAAACCTAACCAAACCTAACCAAGCCGGGCTTCAACAGATAAGGTCTTTAAATACCATCATTTCTCATCAGTCATTACACTTATTAAAAAAAACTCTGACAATTACAGCTCGAGTTTTCTCCTCACCATTCAGAGACAAAATTATTAATCAGATGAACTCAATTGTGGGAGGTAAATTATCGGTTAAGTTGTAATTATTTGTATCAGCTTAGGGATCACCTGAAGATTAGCCACCCAGCAAATTTCAGATTGAGATTAACTAACCTAATGCTAAACTAACTTAATCTTACTGTAACCTAACCTACTGTCATCTAAGCTAACCTAACCTAAGCTAACCTAACCTATTGTAACCTAATCTAACCAAACCTACTGTGATCTAAGCTAATCTACAGTGAACTAATCTAATGTAACCCATTGTAACCCAACCCAACCCAATGTAATCCAACCCAACCCAATGTAACCCAACCCAACCCAACCCAATGTAACAACCGCCAACACACAAGTAACAACAAATGTAACCCAACAATGTAACCCAACCCAACCCAATCCAACCCAACCCAACCCAATGTAACCCAACCTAACCTAACCCAGGTAGAGATAAGGTGTTTAATCACCAGGTAAAATAAGTTTTAATTGGTTAGTTTTCATAAGGTACAGTATTGAGTTAATTCATTCTGTGAGACTTAAAACAGACACACACTTAACTCAGGCATCAAACACTGTGTCGTCATCCCTGGTTGAGATTTGTTCCTTAGAGAGACAATGTTAATTTCTTTTAATAAATAAATCTGATTAAGAAGAAATTATAAGTGGTATTGAACTGTGAATTTTTTTCCCTAGTGTATTTTCGTATTAATGAAATGTGATTTTTTTTCTTTGTATTATTGAATTGCATTTCTTTGTATTTTTTTATATTTATTATTGAACTTTATTTTATTTTTTTATGTGATCGAACTGTATTTGTTTGTATTTGTTTGTAGTATTGAACTGTTATTTTTGTTTTAAGGTGTGGGCGTGTTACCTGGCCCGGTCAAGAGTCTGCACGCTACTAAGGTGAGTGACGGACAGGTGACGCTGGTATGGCAGGAACCCACCGACGGACCAAACGTAACGCAGTATGAACTTCACTACCAGAGCGTCGACAAACACTCCGCCTCTCGAGTTGCTTTCTCTCTCAACAACGTAAGTCTTTTGTCTGGTCTTACTTCCATGTGCTGTGTTGATTATAAAGGTTTAGTGGTAGAGCGGAGGGATACGTGAGGGATCTTGTGTATAAACAGTAGTCATTATACCTTCTAATCTATGTCTCTGTCTATTATTTTAAGACGGGGGGAATTTATTCTATGAGGCTTCCTTTAAAATTCCTAAAATGAAACAGCTTAAACTATTTTGACCTTTTTTTTACCCTTATAGACTCCCTTAATTATCCGGACACTGATAACGTCTTGTTCCTCCCTAAAACTTCCTCCAAGATAGTGATGATTGTTCCTAAGGTCAAGGATGATGAGCTACTGTATACTATAACTGCTGTTCCCTCAACCACTAAATGTTCCCTTGTACACAGTGGCCATGTTGGTAGCCGTGTTAGGGAGTGATATACTGGTCTTTATAACAACAAAACACGTCCTTATAACAGACCCTGAACTTCACTGACACCGTGGCATCCCTCACTAACCTCACTACGGGTAAGATGTACAACTTCTTCGTGTTGCAGAACGAAGAAGGAACGTCACTCCCTTCATCTATACTTACGATCAACGTGACGGACGGAGCTCACAACGATAGCACGGTGGTTGGGTGGCGTCCTCCCCCCACAGTCTAGTGTTGGACGGTAAGAGCGCCACCACCCTCACCATCGTGTGGCAGCCTCCTGAACTAGCCCTCCCCACCGACAGATTCTTGTAAGTTGCTTCCTGGGTCTTGGTAAATAAATGATCTTTGGAGATTTATTGATATATAAAATGTAATTCACTGTTCATAATCTAGTAATGACTTGACTCCTTCACTCTAGGGACGGTACTTTTAATATTTATTCAGTAGAGAGGGGACCCCGTACACAAGGGCTGAGTACAGAGTCATATATGGCTCTGTATATATGGCTCCTTGAGTGTGGGTCTGGTAGAGTGGTAATACAAGTGCTTTTGGGGGTAAATATTTTCACCATCCCATCGTGTTCATCAATGGTGTTACTCCGCTATAACGTTGTTCAGGAGTCAATTAAGACCAACACGGCCTCACACTCCTACTCTCCTCTGCCTCCCTCAGGTATAATCTACACTACCGGGCTCTGGGCAGCACAGACGACGTGAACCAATACAACATGACAACTATAGGGTCCACGGCGATGCGTCTGGAGAATCTGACGCCCAACACACAGTACGTCATATACGTCACAGCTGTCAACGATATGGGTGAAAGTCGGTTCTTCAGAGACCCTCCTGGCCTGGACTGACCCGGCCTACCCAGCCTTCGTCGAGGTAGGTCAACCCCCTTATAGTGTCCCCCGTCTTGAGAGGTCGTTACATTTAAGACATGTGACAGAGGTGAGGTTCATGTGCTCACCCAGTAACAAGATACAATACGGTCACAGTAACACAGACAGTAACGCCATTGAGTAACACAGACAGTACCGTCACTGAGTAACACACTATAAAGTAACACAGTGAGGCAACACTGTAGGGCACTGTAGGTAACACTGTAAGTAGCACTGTAACACACTATGAGGTCATTATCGACTATTTAAGACAACTAATTAATGTTTAATTTCTTTTAGTCATCACTATAACTAAAGCCGTAACACGGATGGTAATGACACAACACTTACTCAGCATGAATAAACATTTTCAATTTAAAACTCCAACAGAATAACTTATCACACACGTGTAAACTCTACCAAACGGCTGTGTTTATATAAATGCTCAAATGATTTTAACTCATCAAAAGCTCCTCCCCCCCCCCAAAAAAAAGGTATTTATTTATTTTTATCTAAGTCACTATAATATTTTTTGGGGACCTATTATGTATTTGAAGTTACAGGAATGATTTTGTATTAATTTTGTATTGATGTTGTATTGCTCATCCCGTCAGACGCCCACCGTCCATCCTATCAACCTGATCGTGGAGGGTGGCTCAATGACGGTCCTCTGTATTGCTATGGGCTCACCACCGCCCACCGTCTCTCTCTATATCTCCGGCATCCTCATCCATCAGGTTAGTGCCAGTACCATGAGAGGGGTGTCTGTCCATGATGGGGGGTGAGGGTGTACCATGATGGAGGGAGTGAGGGTGTCTGTACCATGATGGGGGAGTGAGGGTGTCTGTACCATGATATAAGGGAGGAGGGTGTGTCTGTACCATGATGGAGAGAGGAGGGTGTGTCTGTATCATGATGGGGAGTGAGGGTGTGTCTGCACCATGATGGAGGGAGGAGGGTGTGTCTATACCATGATGGAGGGAGTGAGGGTGTGTCTGTACCATGGGGGTGAGGGTGTCTGTCATGATGGAGAGAGGAGGGTGTCTGTACCATGATGGAGGGAGTGAGGGTGTATCTGTACCATGATGGAGGGAGTGAGGGTGTGTCTGTACCATGATGGAGGGAGTGAGGGTGTGTCTGTACCATGATGGAGGGAGTGAGGGTGTGTCTGTACCATGATGGAGGGGGTGAGGGTGTGTCTGTACCATGATGAAGGGAGTGAGGGTGTGTCTGTACCATGATGGAGGAGATGAACTGTACCATGATGGAGGGAGGAGGGTGTGTCTGTACCTGATGGGGGGAGGAGGTGTGTCTGTACCATGATGGGGGGAGGAGGGTGTGTGGGGGGAGGAGGGTGTGTGTCTGTACCATGATGGGGGGGGAGGGTGTCTGTACCATGATGGGGGAGGAGGGTGTGTCTGTACCATGATGGATGGGGGTGTGTCTGTACCATGTGGGGTGGGAGTGAGGGTGTACCATGATGGAGGGAGAGGGTGTGTCTGTACCATGATGGGGGAGGGAGGGTGTCTGTACCATGATGGAGGAGTGAGGGTGTGTCTGTACAATGATGGAGGGAGTGAGGTGTGTCTGTACCATGATGGAAAGAGGGTGATGGGTGTGTCTGTACCATGATGGAGGGAGTGAGGGTGTGTCTTATGATGGGGGGTGTGAGGGTGTGTCTGTACCATGATGGGGGGAGGAGGGTGTGTCTGTACCATGATGGAGGGAGGAGGGTGTGTCTGGGGGGAGGAGGTATCTGTACCATGATGGAGGGAGTGAGGGATTGTACCATGATGGAGGGAGGAGGGTGTGTCTGTACCATGATGGAGGGAGTGAGGGTGTGTCTGTACCATGATGGGGGGAGGAGGGTGTATCTTATTATGGAGGGAGTGAGGGTGTGTCTGTACCATGATGGGGGGGAGTGAGGGTGTATCTGTACCATGATGGAGGGAGTGAGGATGTGTCTGTACCATGACGGGGGGAGTGAAGGTGTGTCTGTACCATGATGGGGGGAGTGAGGGTGTGTCAGGAACATGATGGAGGGAGTATCTGCCTCTAACATGATGGAAGGAATGAGGACGTAATTGGGACATCCTTATCCACCAGGTTAGTACATGATAGAGTCAAGGACGAGAGGTAACGACACCCACGCTTCCTTTAACATGCTGTAATCTCATAACTGTATTTTCAAATAGTTGATTCTGCCCAGAGTAGAACTATCCCAAAGTGAGTGAGTGAGTGAGTAATTAATTGAGCGATTGAGTGAGTTATTAATTGCGTGAGTGAGTGAGTGAGTAAGTTATTAATTGAGTGATTGAGTGAGTTATTAATTGCGTGAGTGAAGGAGTGAGTGAATAAGTTATTAATTGAGTGATTGAGTGAGTTATTAATTGCGTGAGTGAGTGAGTAAGTTATTAATTGAGTGATTGAGTGAGTTATTAATTGCGTGAGTGAGTGAGTGAGTGAGTAAGTTATTAATTGAGTGATTGAGTGAGTTATTAATTGCGTGAGTGAGTGAGTGAGCGAGTGAGTGAGTGAGCGAGTGAGTGAATGATTGTGGTAATTACGTCCTTCCCGACGCTAAATTATCCCGAAATATCATCATCGTTTACTGTACAATTTAGTTCTTGATGTTTAAAACTTCTTTCAAAATGCAGACAAATTAAACCAAAAAATAACGTTAAATATTCAGTAAACATTATGCTTAACGACGCCTGATTAACGAGATTTACATTTAACCAAAAATTTCGTTTTACTTTTGAAATTGGAGTAAATATATGCATTATTTTATATATATATTTTTTTTTTATTCAACAAAAAATATAGGGAATCACTGCACTTAATTGGCAAAATAATGTTTTGCTCTGTTAATCAATATTTAGTCAGAATTTCCCATTTTCTTCAGTCTTTTCTAACTTAACCCCTAACTCTTAGGATTATTATCTATTTATCTCCATTAACCCGCTAACGTAATCCTTCCTGTGATATATATTTAATTTATCTATAAGAATTATATATCACGATTATATAAAAAAAAAATTCGCCATTTATTTTTTAGATTTGTTGGAAATTACGAGAATTATATTATAGAAATTTTGTCGACTGGTTCGTCCATATTAAGGCGTGTTAACCCTTTGACTGATTACATAAGGAAAGAAGGAAGGGAAGGATGGAAGGAAGAGAGGGAAGGAAGGAAGGGGAGGGAAGGAAGGAAGGGGAGGGAAGGAAGGAAAGGGGGGAAGGAGGAAAGGGGGGAGGGAGGGAAAGGTACTTGACTGAGAAGAGGAACAAACATTGAGGCATTTCTCTCCAAGTTTCCTCACCATCTCCCAAATACACTAAAATCCTTTACATATTTAAAACATAATTCATAACTTGCCGAAAGAATAAAAAATACCCAATAAATGTGTGTGTGTGTGTGTGTGTGTGTGTGTGAGTGTGTGTGAGTGTGTGTGAGAGTGCTTATGTGTATGTTGGTGTGTGTATGTGTATCTTTCTAACTTCAAAATATGAAATTCCAACATGACAGAGAAACACATGTAGAGGAAATCAGACTTCTGGCTGTGAGGACTTTAACCCACAAATTGCCATCATTTTTAAACGAGAATATTGGACCCAAAAAATCATAGTGAGGTTAACCGGATCTATGTAATGGTGAAGCAGATCACTATCATTCGTCAGAGTGTGGACGACAGCAGTGAGGTGCACAAAAAATATATTGACTGGACTCTTGATACTTGCATGCGGTCAGGTGATCATCCGCAGCTGGCAAATGAAAGTCATTAGTCCTATAAATTGGGTAACGCGGCAATCTGTCAACCTAGGGGTAGTAGGGGGGGCGGTGGGGGTAGAGGGAGGTTGGGTAGGGGAGGTGGGGAGGCAAGGTAGGGGGGGGGTGGGTAGGGGAGGTGGGTTAGAGGAGGCAAGGTAGGGGCAGGGTAGGAGGTGGGGTAGGGGGTGGTAGGGAGGTGGGGGTAGGGGAGGCAGGTAGGGGGCAGGGTAGGGGAGGTGGGGTAGAGGAGGCAAGGTAGGGGGCAGGGTAGGGGAGGGGTAGAGGAGGCAAGGTAGGGGGGCAGTAGGGTAGGGGAGGTGGGGTTAAGCCTTATAAAACCCACACCGTAATTAGGCATACAGCTTATGTATATATATAAATAAATATACACAGTACAAGGGTATATATATAAACATTATACATACATACAGTACATCCCATCAGTTATAGACCTCATAAAAAGTGTAGCCTTAGGGAAACCTTTCCAAAATAGGGCTTCAATTAGGGGAACTTTTCTGGAGTTGGGGAAAAAAATCATTCCAGAGCAGCAGACACACCCAGTATTACCAATGAGGAGAGAAACGCCCATCACCCCACTCTTTTCCCAATCTACCCCCTTCTCACCCTACTCCTTTCCCTCTCTACCCCTCCTCACCCCACTCCTTTCCCACTCTACCCCCTCCTCACCCCACCTCCTCTTCATCCCATTCCTCCTTACCCTACCCCAAGGCCTATCACCCGTCGTAACCTAACGTAACCTGGGGGCGTATCTCCGGGTGGTCCGCTGTTAATAATTCTCGACATAGTATATCACTCAACACAGTCTTCACTCCTCAGTTAAAGTGATCTCCTCTAACACAGCACAAAAGGCCGCTCCGTCTCCATTATTGTCCCCACAGTTTGTTCACATCTGCACAATTTATTTCAGTTTGCTTTCAGAGATTCAGACAAACTTTAATGTTAAATTGGTTTCGTAAAAAATTTCAATGACACGTTAATTGCTCAACAAATTTCAGGACTTACAAACAACCTACTACCACAGTTACCTGACCAATTACCTATTTTTCAAGACAAGTCCAATTGGAAGGAACAATCTCACCTTCACTTAAATTACTAAATTGTGACATGGATTTAAACCCAGTTAAAAAAAAAACTATTCAAATATTTTTTTTCTTACATTCAGAGGAACACTTCACTTCCATCAAATATAAAACTTCTATTTTTTCTTTTCCATTTATTGCACTTTTACTTTTTTTACACAGTGATAAGAGCCAGACGTCCGTTCATATCATCCAGTAAAAAACAAATAAAAAAATAAAAAGCTGAAAATTAACAGGATTCTGATGACCTGACTTCAATCGTGTACATTTGCAAGTTTTTCTTAACATTTATTTTTGCATTTTTCTAACCTCGTGTCAAAGAGGAGTAGAAACATTAAAGAACTAATCAGGTTATAGATATTAGTGGAGATAGATAGTCTACTAATCCCCTATTGCCTTCTAGTTGAATAAAATCATCTGGCGTTAACCAAATAAAATATTAAAAATGGCGTCCCAGTAGTAAAGTTGTTAATTAATTCTTTATACTTATGCACAGAGTTGAAGTTTGTCTGTTCGCTCTGGTTGTGTGTTAAGGCTGATGGGTTGGGTTGGGTTGGGTTAGGGTTAGCTGGTTGTCTAAACGCTGATTATCAAGTTGATGTAAGGAAGTGTTTAGGCAGGACGGACCCACGGACGGACAAATTACTATTATGAGACAATAAGTTAAAATACTACGTGATTTTTACCTGGCGTGGTCATTATTATTATTATTATTATTATTATTATTATTAGCATTATTATTATTAAAGGAACTGTACTAATAATAACAAAGGTAAAAAATTGTACAAACGCAATTATCATTATCATCATTATTATTGTTACTAATTATCTTAACTAATTATATGTATTAATATCCCATAAAATTAATATTATGTCTTAATGTCTGATTGCCTGTTCTCGCCCTGAAGGATGTGACGCGGCATATGGTGACGGTGGTGCATAACGTGACGCGGGAGATGAGGGAGATCTCTTGTTACGCCGACAATGGTTACGGTACACCCATGCAGGCGTCCAGGACCATTACTATCTCTCGTGAGTCTCTCTCTCTCTCTCTCTCTCTCTCTCTCTCTCTCTCTCTCTCTCCACCAACCTACCCAGAATCACCACTAACTAGCAAACACTAGGAGAGGAACAGCTTCTATTGTTAGTTACAGAGTCAATCGCAAGATGTCGTGTCGTGTTGACCACCTCAGTAATTAGGAGAGAAACTACAGATATAGGCTGTTAATGAGCAGGTGTTGTGTTGGTGAGCTTTCATACCTAAGGTCTTCAATGTGTAGTACTGTCACTAGTAATTACCAATTAATACTTCAAATAGATTTCGAGTAATTAATATTTTTATATCGATTGTAAGTGGGAGTGATTATTCTCACACACACACACACACACACACACACACACACACACACACACACACACACACTAGTAGTTGGTTGAACCAGGAGAATTTTTTTGTCAGGTCCGGTGTAGCGGTCTGAGCCCCTCTCTCCCAGGTAGGTCAAGTTAGGTCACGACAATAATAATTATTAATACAGATAAAGACGAATTATATAATTATTATGGGACCTAACCTAACCTAACTAGGGGTGGCCTCAGACCGTGAATACAGCGGCCTGAGGGATATCACCAACTCACATAGAGAGAAAGTAGAGCGGTCAGACTGGGCAGCTCACTAGGTCCTACAACAGTCAACGCTGACCATTCAATACAAAGTTGTTATCATAACCCGCGAGGATGTTGTAACTCCCTGCATGATGGGTTGTAAGAGTAACAGTCCGCGAGAGTGATGATGGTTTGTAACACTGAAATAACCTGAGTGGTAAATCCATATACTGTGTTGGCAAGATAGCTCGTACTTGTCAACTGTGTGAGTGTTGTGTTGCCATAACAAGGTGGACTAGTGTTTGAGTAAGTTGTGGGGCCATGTGTTACAGGGCGGCCACGCATCAGAGGCAAGGAAGTGGTGAGGGTGACCAAGGGCACCTCGGTCACCCTGCAGTGTAAGGTGGACGCCTGGCCACAGCCCGCGCTGGTGTGGTGGAGGGACGCGGATGGAAGAGTGCCAGTCATACACGGAGGGAACTACGCCATCAGCACCATCAACGGTGAAGAGGTAAGCTACAGCGACCTCTGTATCGGTCACGCTAAATACAGATAATCGCCGAGTCAAATTTAAAAAGCAACTGACGTTTTGCTGACTAGGGACAATTTCCTGTTTTATTGATATATAATGAATGAAAATTAGCTTGTATATATTAGCACGTGTTCTGTTTAATATATATATATATATATATATATATATATATATATATATATATATATATATATATATATATATATATATATATATACTGTATATAAACCGGCGCTTCATAACGTCCTCTCGCCGGCAGTAAACTGATAATGGCCGGATATTATCATATATATGTATGTATATCACGGTGGTGCAGAGGATGACTCGCCTGTCTCTCGCTCATTGAATTTAAGTGTTCCCGGGTGTACCTCCATCACCCACACTCTGACCAGACAGCCAATCATCTATTTCCTCCAGCACTGAAGAAGACCTCATACAACGATAGACTTATTACTATTGAAAGAAGGTCTGCCCAATATACGTTCACAGTCATTTGTTGTCAACTTTCCCTCCTCAGCAAGAGGCTCTACACTATCATCTCTCCTCTGGTAGCTGAGAGTTTTTCTGGGTCTTTTCTTTTCTCGTGGGATCCAGTAGCTGACGTCCATCTTCCTTACACTAACGACAGGTCAGCTCAGTAACGCCTCTTGTCTTCACCTCACACAAACGTCTCGTAATTCATCCTTTCACAAATTATCTCAGGCGATTCTGTTTTGTTTTTTCATGTTTTGTCACTTATTGTTTTATCATGTTGTGTCACTTATTGTTTTTTCATGTTGTGTCACTTATTGTTTTTCATTAACCCTAAATAACGGACACTACAAAATAAATCAAAATAAACCCTACATGGCGGACACTTTACAATATGAACCGTACATAACGGACAGTACAGAGCAGTATAGAATAAAGGACAATGCTTGGTGGTAATTCCTGGGTCATGGTCTGGGCAGTTGAACGTCAAGCCAGCCAGCCATCTTGAGTCGGATCCCATCACCTGCTGTACCAACAAACTCTCTCCAGCTACCTGTATATGTAATCAAATCCTCATCAACGAATTATACGACCAGCACTATATAGCTTTCTCCCCCCCCCCTCCCTCCCCCTACCCCATTCCTCCCCCTACCTCGTCAGTCTCCCTTGATGTTGTTGGTATTATCACACAGATGGCACTATAGGTTGACCCTCTCCCTCACCCGACTCTATAACACTAGCCTGCCTTATCTTACCGTACCATGTATCGATTTAGTGTTTACATTCCTCTCACCACCCGGGGATTCCACTCTGTGTCATCAACATTATCCTCTATACCAAACACTCAGGTTCAGCCGCCCATCAAGACCCTTCCACCACGGCCTCTACTGATATAACTGAGGGGATGTTTACCTACGTGGCACTATTATCCCTATATTGGCACCGTCACTCCCATACTGGCACCATCACTCCCATACTGGCACCATCACTCCCATACTGACACCATCACTCCCATACTGCACCATCACTCCCCATGGCACCATCAATTTACCACACCATCACCCCATACTGACACCATCAATTCCATACTGGACACCATCACTCCATACTGACACCATCACTCCCATACTGACACCCATACTCACCATCACTCACCATCACTCCCATACTGACACCATCACCCCATACTGACACCATCACTCCCCATACAACCATGACACCATCACTCCCATACCCAACCATCACATACACCATCACCTATCAATTGGCACCATCACTTGACATGGCACCATCACTCCATACTGGGCACCATCACTCCCATACTGGCACCATCACTCCCATACTGACACCATCACTCCATACTGACACCATCACTCCCATACTGACATCAGGCACCATCACTCCCATACTGGCACCATCACTCCCATACTGACACCATCACTCTCATACTGACACCATCACTCCCATACTGACACCATCACTCCCATAATGGCACCATCACTGGCACACTGTCAGAACCCTTTCACGTAATGACAAGCGGCACCTCAATTCTTTTTCGTTTTGTCACTTTTTTTCTCGTATTTTTACTCACAATTTTATTCGTTTCTCTTCTTCACTGTTCCACACACACACACACACACACACACACACACACACACACACACACACACACACACACACACACACACACACACACACACACACACTCACTCAAGCGTCTTGGAACACCATCACCGTCATCCATTGATATTATTCCAGATTCAGAGATATTCACTCGGGAGGAGATAACGCTTAAAGGCAAGGAGGAGGAGGAAGAGAAGAAGGGGAGGTGAAGAAGGGGAAGGAGAAGGAGGAGGAGGAGGAGAAGGAGGAAGGAAGGAGAGAAAAGAAAGGGAAGAAAAATGCCCCACAAAAGGAAAACAAAACAAAACATAGAAGTCAGAATAAAAAAATATCAATAACCGATAAAACGTAAAACATAAAAGAAGAAAAAATTAATCATATGGTTTTATCTTCATAACGAAAGAAAAAAAAAGAAAGAAAAATAAGATAATAAAAGGGGGTGAAGGAAGGAAGGAAGAGGAAAGAAATAAGAAAAAAAAAGATATATGCTCTCCTGTTTCTCCTCACCTTCCCTCACCCTTCCTGAGCTAAGGTAGAGAGAGAGAGAGAGAGAGAGAGGAGAGACTCGTGTAAATTGGAAATCGTAGAGGAAATGTCTTCTCTTGTCATCTCTCTCTCTCTGTCTATCTAGGTGAGAGAATGAGTTAGGGGAGAGTGAGAAAGAAAGAGAAGAGAATAAGAGAGGAAAGTGAAGAGAATAAGAGAGATAAGTGAAGAGAATTAAGAGAGGAAAATGAAGAGAATAAAAGAGAAATGAAGAAAATAAGAGAGAAAATGAAGAGAATAAAAGAGATAAGTGAAGAGAATATGAAAGATAATTGAAGAGAATAAGAGAAATGAAGAGAATAAAAGATAAGTGAAGAGAATAAGAGAAATGAAGAGAATAAAAGAGATAAGTGAAGAGAATGAGACAAATGGAATAGGATGAGAAGACGAAGGAATCAGGAGAGAAAAGGGAACTCCGTTATCATATCATCATATCCTTCCCACACAATAGGATATTACAAGGATACGTTAAGGGCAGGAGGCCGTAGGATGTGTTCAGAAATTCAACCCCTTGAGTACGATAGTATTAACTTTTGAGTACGAAAACATTAACCCCTTGAGTACGATAGCATTAACCCCTTGATGCTTATAAAGTGTATAGGAGACGTTAATAGTGTGTATAGGAGACGTTAATAGTGTGTATAGGAGACGTTAATAGTGTGTATAGGAGACGTTAATAGTGTGTATAGGAGACGTTAATAGTGTGTATAGGAGACGTTAATAGTGTGTATAGGAGACGTTAATAGTGTGTATAGGAGACGTTAATAGTGTGTATAGGAGACGTTAATAGTGTGTATAGGAGACGTCAATAGTGTGTATAGGAGACGTTAATAGTGTGTATAGGAGACATTAATAGTGTGTATAGGAGACGTTAATAGTGTGTATAGGAGACGTTAATAGTGTGTATATGGAACGTTAATAGTGTGTATAGGAAACGTTAATAGTGTGTATATGGGACGTTAATAGTGTGTATAGGAGACGTCAATATTATGTTTAGTAGAGCAAAATGTTTAAATAGTAAACACCGAACCTGTACATCCACTTTTCCCAATCTTCTAAATTGTTACGTTTTAAATGCAAGAAAGCGAACTCAGATACCTCCACACTGATTACTCACCCAGGAGATTATGTTGTATCACTATGCAGAATTTCACTCTGCTTCCGGCATTCAATGAGTTGTGTACTTGATAAATGATGATTTAATGAATTCCATTAATTTCCAACATCCATCTAAGTTATTGGTTATACTTTGTCATAACCAATCAGTCATTACCTTTGGTAATAATAATAATAAAGGGATCACAGATACGGGCAGATGATTGCACTTACGTTTATTTGGCACAATTCCATACACTGGACTTATAATTTGCATGGATAGGTCAGTCACTCACATTCGCGCCACAGTACCGTAAGTTATAAGGAAGAGTTTGTCAACCTGGGGAATTAATCGTTTAGATCTATTAGGCCGGCCTGGAGTGCTCTTGTAGCAAACAGGCCCTCACCATTGATCACTTCCTTTACAGGATGAGTTAACTTTTCGCTGGACTTAACAACAATCTCGGGGATTTGCACACACAGACTCGTAGCACTGGTAGGACTGTATGGCCCCTGTTCTAAATCCGCGGAGCAGGAGGTCTTCTCTCACCCAAGGTCTAAAGCCCACTGACTAAAATGTGGTTTTTGAGGCGAGAAATGATGATCAGTACACCACTGTCTCACTGGCCTGCCCCCTCCTACATGTCCCAGTTATGGCTGGCCGGTTACCTTATCTCTACCTAAACAAACATTTGGGATGGGTTGTGCGGGTAGGCCCAACGCAACCCATGACATAAATATACCTTTAATATACTCAAGAGGTGGCTGCTTACCTGTCTCTAAAGAGGTGTTACCTGGTCAATATTGGAGATGTTCGGGGTACTTGGTTCTAACTACAGGAGCGAACATAAACACCTGTAGAGTTCTGTAGGTTCTTATTAACGGAATTATACAGGAGTGAGCTCACAAGCGTAGGTGGTCCTCACACTCCTATAGGGGTCAACTGACCTCACTCTGACCTCTCAGGCGACATGTGGTAAATGGTTCACTAGCAGCTTCCAGATGTCGCTAGGCACATTTATCTGAGCGTGTGGTGACATGAAACAGGGGCATTGCCGCACGCTACTGACTAAAGAAGTACTGTATATATATAGAGTACATACATGGTATACATACATACATAATATACATACACCTCCCCCCCCCTATACGCTCATAGCAAAGTCTTGAGCGGACCTTTTCCTGTGGATCCGTTCTGAGCGTCCAGGGGCTTAATCACTGGGGGGGATATGGGACTCAGCACTGGTGACGGGGTCAGCGGGATGCGTTACTGGGCGGAGGAAACGGCGGTTCCTCCACCACACCCGACCGCTGGGTAACCGCACCTGGTTGTCCTGTGACCTACCGAGACCCATGACTATGCCCACTTTGTCCCAACGTAGGGAGGTCGGGTCCTGGACACGGACTTGGGATGCCGACACTCAACCTGGGGAGAGGATGGGCGTAGTCGTTGTGGCGAGCGACGACGTCTTGAATACGTTCGGCGGCTCGGCGATCACAATCCTCTGTCTTGGCCTGCCACTCCTTGGAGAAGGATTGAGGGTGAGCAGGGACACAAGAACGGAGGGGGCGTCCATACAAGACCTGGGCAGGGGAGCGTCCGGTGTAATTGGGTGTGTTGCGGAGCTCAAGGAGACCCTGGTCGAAGGCCTCGCAGTCAATATTCCTAGAAGGGGCCACTTTGAGTATGAGGTGCTTCAGGGATTTGACAGCAGCCTTGGCGTGGCCGTTGGACTGCGGGTAATGAGGCGGTGACAACACATGCCGGACTACCCATCGGTCGAGGAACGCAGCAAAGTCCCGGCTTGTGAACTGGGGCCCTCCGTCGGTTTGCAGGCGCACAGGAACGCCCACGTAACGGAAGTAGTGGCGGAACTTGCTGATGGTGGCGGCAGATGTAGTATCCTTACCGCACTTGATGACAACTGGCCAACCAGAGAGACGGTCGACGATAACCAGGAAGGACTCTTCTGACACACAGAAAAAGTCGGCCGACACAGACTCAAAGGGGCGGGTGGGGTTGTCGTCACTCATGAAGGGTTCCTGCTGCTGGCTGGGTTGTAGTACGTGGCGGGGCTTACACACCTGGACAGCATTGGAGATGTCGGGGTCGATGCCAGGCCGGAACACAGTCTGTCTTGCACGCCGTTTGGTGGCCTCGGCTCCACGGTGACTGTCGTGGAACCAAGCCAAGGCGTGGGGACGTGAAGCAGCAGGGACAACTACCGAAGGAGAGGTGTCACTGGCCAGAGGTAGGGATAGGGCGGCAGCAGGGTAGTTGCTGCTCCCTTCGTGCACCCTGTTGGCATATTTTACCTCGAGAATCGGTGTTGGGAAGTCCTGGGAGATGATGGCCAACTCTTGGCAATGTCTGTAGGAAAGCAAAGGAGTCGGAACACCATTATGCACGTCAATCCATAGATGACACGACCTGTTGCCAAAGGTGACATGTGCATAGAGTGAACCGAGGGCTGGGGCCATCTGTGAACCATCTGCCGTGACCCGGAGGTCCTTGGGAGGCGGTCCTAGATCGCTTGGAGAGAGCCCCAAGCATTGCAAATGCTGGGGACCGATGACCGTAGCCTCAGTGCCGGTGTCGGGCAGCATCTCGAGACAGGATGACACATTGCCGTAGGTCACGATGACGCTGATGTGCCGGGGAACTTTGGTCCTGGGACGCGAGGAGTACACCCTCCAAATATGGGTCGGGCTTTGTCCAGGGTCGTCGTGCCTCTGATTTGGCGACTGTGGGCGGCCCTCACTGGTGGAAGGGCGCTGCTGCTTCCACCGACGCTGTCCCTTGGGTTTGTTGGTCGGACAACACTTTTCGTAGTGGCCCAGACGACCACACACATTGCACTGGACGCGTTTGGCTGGGCACCGAACTGTAAGTGACCAGTGGCCCTTGCGGTCACAACTGTCGCAGGTAGACTCGGCAGCTGGACACACCTGTGTTCCGTGCTGCCTACCACAGCTGTTGCAAAGGGAGCCGGTCGTGGGCGTGGTGGGCGTAGGCGTTGGGGCAGACTCCTTGTCTTTCTTGTATTGGGACATAGCCCGTACGGCTGTAGGGGGAGCTCGGATGGCAGAGGTAGCACACCTGGCAGCCTCATAGGAGCGACATACTGTCAATACATCCTTAAGAGAGGAGGAAGAGTCGAGGGAGGTGAGGCGTTGGACAAGCTCCTCGTCCTTAACACCCATCAAGATCACCTGCTTCAACTGGGTCTCCTCGCACTTCTGTCTCTTCCGAGGCTCTCTTGAGTCGTACGTAGAAATCGTCAAAAGTCTCGCTCCATCTTTCTACAGCTAAACACTTCCCTCCTGCGGAGAGCTTCACTCCGCTGACCTTTGATGTGCCGTTCTAGAACATCAAGTGCCTCCTCTACAGACAACAAAGACGTCGGGGGCACTTGCAACGTGGGTTCCAACACATGCTGCGTTCCCAGAGACAGGCACATACGTAGCTGAATGAGTTGTTTCGGCTGTGGCAAGCTCTGGAGATCCACCATTGTAGCATAATCAGTCCACCGTCGCCGCCACTCACGAAATGTCTGGAAAGTCTCATCAGGCTTCAAGGTGGGTGGGGATTAGACAACCACTTTAGTAGAGGGCGTTGACGAGGTATCTGAGCCAGTCGGTACCTGAGTAGTGGAAGGGCCAAGGGCTTGATTAGCAGTGAGGCTAGATATCAAAGCTGCAAACCGTTCGTTATCTTCCAATCTCCGTTGGTGGTCCTCAGCATGTCTTTTCGCTTCGTCCTGACGCATTTCCTCCCTCATAAGCTTCATCAGAGCAATTATCTCTGAGGACGAGGCTGAGGGTCGAGGGGTGTGACCGTTCTCCATCTCTGTAGAGCTGTCATCCGTCTGATTCATCCGGGCGCTAGGGACACCCCTGCGTGAGGCCCGGGGCATAATTACTTTATCTGTATATTGTATCTCAAATCAGTGTTGACCGGTCAGCCCGTCGTATCAACCAGATCTGAGACAACAAAATTAATTGAATACACAGATAAGTAACTTATATATATATATATATATATATATATATATATATATATATATATATATATATATATATATATATATATATATATATATATATATATATATATAAAATATATATGAAGAAATGAGGTGCGTGCGTGAGTTAGTGTGTGTAGGCGGGGGTAGAGCGGAGGGAGGCGGTGGGGGGTGAGCAGTGGGGGTTGTTACCCTCCAGGTAGCCAGGGACGGTCGCTCTGACTCTTCACAAATGCCCTATATTAGCCTTCCACCTTAGGGAATCCTTTAAAACAAGGACACACACACGAGGGGCACTTAAAGACACTTCACAGGAAATTGCGGTCACTGCACACTGCTCAAAACTCGTTGGTCATTCAAACGAATTTTTGTGGGAGACAATGGCACGGATGACGGAGTTGACGGAGATCTACCGGCCTTGATTTTACACGAACGCACTTATTTCCACTTAATCGATCACTTGATACTCAATGCGCCATGGAGATGTTCGGGGTACTTGGTTCTAACTACAGGAGCGAACATAAACACCTGTGGAGTTCTGTAGGTTCTTATTAACGGAATTATACAGGAGTGCGCTCACAAGCGCAGGTAGTCCTCACACTCCTATAGGGGTCAACTGACCTCACTCTGACCTCTCAGGCGACATGTGGTAAGTGGTTCACTAGCAGCTTCCAGATGTTGCCAGGCACATTTATCTAAGCGTGTGGTGACATGAAACAGGGGCATTGCCGCACGCTACTGACTAGAGAAGTACTGTATATATATATATATATATATATATATATATATATATATATATATATATATATATATATATATATATATATATATATATATATATATATATATAGAGTACATACATACATAATATACATACAAATATTACCTGCCGCCATTACCACACCTTTTGGGCGAATATGAATCTATTTGTACTAACTGCGTGGTTTTATTTTTAAGGTATAAATTTTATCTAATATTCCTATACGTTTCTATACATGTTTCGTCTCTATGTGATCTGAAGTTATCAGGATCAAAATATTACGTTAAGTGAGTAATATTACGTTAGGTGAGTAATATTACCTAAGTGAGTAATATTACGTTAAGTGAGTAATATTACGTTAGGTGAGTAATATTACCTTAAGTGAGTAATATTGCCTTAAGTGAGTAATATTACGTTAAGTGAGTAATATTATGCCTCCAAATGGCAATGCATAATATCTTGTGTTTACGAGTGGCTGAAATATCCCTCGTCTCCAGCTGACTGAGAGTAATATTAGACACAACCAAAGGGGGTGTGAGTAATATTAGGTTGTCTCTCCAGATGGTGTAAGTAATAACACTTATCTCCAAAGAGGTGAATATGAGCTATCTCCATATAGAGTTGTAGTGAGGTCGTGTTTATAGTCGCTTCAGTGTCTCTCCATGTAGAGTTGTAGTGAGGTCGTGTTTATAGTCGCTTCAGTGTGTCTCCATGTAGTTATAGTGAGGTCGTGTTTATAGTCGCCTCAGTGTGTCTCCATGTAGAGTTATAGTGAGGTCGTGTTTATAGTCGCCTCAGTGTGTCTCCATGTAGAGTTATAGTGAGGTATTTTGTTATGGCCGGCTGCCTCAGGTAGATGCAATTACTGAGAAAAAAATCCTGTCAATCTTCCTACGTCACTGAACCCTGAAACTCGTGAACCTGTTAACCCGAGACATCACACAGTGCATCATCTACGGACCCGGCAATGTGTCATGTCTCGGGTTCACGGGTTCATGAATCTCAGGGTTCATGGACTTGAGGGACGACTGACAGGACTGTAAGCTGTTGTTAGGAAAATTAGCAACTCTAGTAATAGCGTTAACGACCTCCTCCTTCTCCTCCTCGTACAACAGGGTGAAGGGAACTACAGAATGCAGCTGACCATAAGGACGGTAAACGAGGCTGACGAAGGTACCTACTTCTGTCACGCCAGCAACGCCTTCGGTGTCTTCTCGTACACGAACAAGGTAAGGCAGTAGCGGGGACTTGTGGTGTTAATATGTGTGTGTTATATGTATGTACACTAGCCAAATTAAGTCCTGCCGTCTGAACTGCCTCTTCTTGAACCCAGAGATTCAGAAACCCGTGAAACCGAAACAGGCCTCTCTCTCTCTCTCTCTCTCTCTCTCTCTCTCTCTCTCTCTCTCTCTCTCTAACACTCACTCTCTCCCCTCAGGTCCAGATAAACAACCCGATAAAGCTTGAAATCGACGTAACAAAGTGCTGTATGGATAGTAACGTGACCGACAGCTGCATGGAAGCCTGTGCGTTCGACGAGCTGAACTTCGCCCGTGTGATGAACAGCGAGAAGTGTATACCTGACTTCGGCAAGCTGATGAAATGCGCGGCAGGTGAGGAGGCCAATCCTTTTTTGAACTACCTGTGTTGATTTGTCCTGACGTCACTATTCCACGTATACGACAGTTGTTTAAAGGGAGATGATAATTATTATTTTTTTAATGTGTTTAATTTATTTTTATTATTATTATTCTTATTATTAATATTATTATTATTATCTTTATTATTATTGTTGTTGTTGTTGTTATCATTATCATTATTATTTTTGTTAGTATCATTGTACGATGATGATGATGATGATGAAATAAACTTGAATTTTTTTTACTATACATGAACAAAATAGACAAAACTTGAAAGAGACGAACATGAGGGGGAATAAAAAAGTTCATTACAAGGAACAAGAATTAATAATAACTAAAAGACAAACCAGATGAAGAGATAAGCACAACAAAAGATAAAATAATACATAAATAAACTTTACTAAAAATAACACATACGAAACAAAACACATAATTGAAGACAGGTAAGCGGGGGGGGGAGGGAGGGAGTGTACCTGGACTACTACCAATTAGAAACTCGAGGAAGTATTTAATTAAAGAAAGGAGCAACAGTAAGGTCACCTGGACACGACAATGTTATGACGAAACTTTTGGAATGTGTCGTAAAAAGTCCTGTAGTGCCGAATTTACCGCTTGTTATTGTGTGTGTGTGTGTGAGAGAGAGAGAGATAGACAGACAGATACAGACAAACAGACAGAAAAGAAAGAGAGAGAGAAAGAAAGAGACAGGTAGATAGATAGACAGACAGACAGACCCCAAACCACATATAAAAAAAAATGTTTGAAACTCCTCCAAAAGAAAGCGTTGGAAGACTTGTCGCTCATGCTAGAGAAGAGAGTGTGTGCTTATTTCTCCTACCAACACACTTACCCTCTTGTGCCCCTCGTTAGCTGCTGAATAAAATAAACTCGCGTTCGTCAAATAAAATATTATAAGTGGCCCGCGTCTCCGTAGCGAAAGGGCTTATAAATTATTCTAGGTAGAGACTGGACCTGTTTTATGGAGGAATATTAATATGGTGGAGAAATATTAGTCTAGTGGAGGAATATTAGTCTAGTGGAGGAATATTAGTCTAGTGGAGGAATATTAGTTTAGTGGAGGAATATTAGTCTAGTGGAGGAATATTAGTTTAGTGGAGGAATATTAGTCTAGTGGAGGAATATTAGTCTAGTGGAGGAATATTAGTCAAGTGGAGGAATATTAGTCTAGTGGAGGAATATTAGTATAGTGGAGGAATATTAGTATAGTGGAGGAATATTAGTCAAGGAATATTAGTCTAGTGGAGGAATATTAGTCTAGTGGAGAAATATTAGTCTAGTGGAGGAATATTAGTCTAGTGGAGGAATATTAGTCAAGTGGAGGAATATTAGTTTAGTGGAGGAATATTAGTCTAGTGGAGGAATATTAGTCTAGTGGAGGAATATTAGTTTAGTGGAGGAATATTAGTCTAGTGGAGGAATATTAGTCTAGTGGAGGAATATTAGTCTAGTGGAGGAATATTAGTCAAGTGGAGGAATATTAGTCTAGTGGAGGAATATTAGTATAGTGGGGGAATATTAGTCTAGTGGAGGAATATTAGTCTAGTCGAGGAATATTAGTCTAGTCGAGGAATATTAGTCTAGTCGAGGAATATTAGTCTAGTCGAGGAATATTAGTCTAGTGGCGGAACATTTGCCAAGTGGAGAAATATTAGTCAAGTGGAGGAATATTAGTCTAGTGGAGGAATATTAGTCAAGTGGAGGAATAGTAGAGGAATATAAGTCTAGTGGAGGAACATTAGTCAAGTGGAGGAATATTAGTCAAGTGGAGGAATATTAGTCTAGTGGAGGAATATTAGTCTAGTGGAGGAATATTAGTCTAGTGGAGGAATATTAGTCAAGTGGAGGAATTTAGTCTAGTGGAGAATATTAGTCTAGTGGAGAAAGGAGTATTAATATTAGTCTAGTGGCGGAATATTAGCCAAGTGGAGAAATATTAGTCAAGTGAAGGAATATTAGCCTAGTGGAGGAATATTAGTCAAGTGGAGGAATATTTGTCTAGTGGAGGAATATTAGTCTAGTGGAGGAATATTAGTCAAGGAATATTAGTCTAGTGAAGGAATATTAGTCTAGTGGAGGAATATTAGTCTAGTGGAGGAATAATAGTCTAGTGGAGGAATATTAGTCCAGTGGAGGAATGTTAGTCTAGTGGAGGAATATTAGTCAAGTGGAGGAATATTAGTCTTGTGGAGGAATATTAGTCTAGTGGAGGAATATTAGTCTAGTGGAGGAATATTAGTCTAGTGGAGGAATATTAGTCTACTGGAGGAATATTTGTCTAGCAGAGGAATATTAGTATAGTGGAGGAATATTAGTCTAGTGGAGGAATATTAGTCAAGGAATATTAATCTAGTGGAGGAATATTTGTCTAGTGGAGGAATATTAATCTAGTGGAGGAATATTCGTCAAGGAATATTAGTCTAGTGGAGGAATATTAGTCAAGTGGAGGAATATTAGTCTACTAGTGGAGGAATATTAGTCAAGTGGAGGAATATTAGTCTAGTGGAGGAATATTAACCTAGTGGAGGAATATTAGTCTAGTGGAGGAATATTAGTCAAGTGGAGGAATATTAGTCTAGTGGAGGAATATTAGTCAAGTGGAGGAATATTAATCAAGTGGAGGAATATTAGTCTAGTGGAGGAATATTAACCTAGTGGAGGAATATTAGTCTAGTGGAGGAATATTAACCTAGTGGAGGAATATTAGTCTAGTGGAGGAATATTAGTCTAGTGGAGGAATATTAGTCTAGTGGAGGAATATTAGTCTAGTGGAGGAATATTAGTCTAGTGGAGGAATATTAGTCTAGTGCAGGAATATTAGTCTAGTGGAGGAATATTAGTCAAGTGGAGGAATATTAGTCTAGTGGAGGAATATTAGTCTAGTGGAGGAATATTAGTCTGGTTCAAAACAGCTTCACCGTCAGCAGAATCACGGAGGAGTATTGGGCAAGGACCTGAAGCTTGGCTATGACAGTGTACAGTACAGCCAGGGACTAAAGTTTTCTCCCTGTTATGAAACTGAGTCACGGGAATGAGTCTCTGAACTGACTTTCCTTTATCATCAGGTGCGGGTGTGTGGTTTTGTCTCATTTGGGGTCGATGCTGCTTCATTCTGGGAGGGAACGAGCTCTTGACCCCGACTGTACATAGATCTTCACTATGAGAGGTACTGAGAGAGTTAGGAACCCCAGGGAAAAAATATAAATGGGTTGAATGAAAGTTTATTACATACCGCCTCCTTCAGGTAAGGATTCACATTGCCACCGGGTGTTCCTCACTCTGGATGTGGATGGAGGCGGCTCATACGCTAATCCAGAGCTCGGAGGGAAGATCTTATTGCAGATCATATGGATGTGATGACGTCTTCATACATGACCTGACCTGACCTGACCTGACCTGACCTGACCTAATCACCCCAGGTAACATTAGGTTATTTTATTATCACGTAAAATAAGATGCCGGGTGGGGGGCTAATCTTCATATGGTCCAGAAATTTTAGAGCGTCTAAAATTTCAATATTGAGAAGAATTTTGGGGCCAGCTTTTGCCACAGGCACTTAACAGATGAAGAAGAAGGGGAAGACGATGAAGCAGGAGGAGGAGGAGGAGGAGGGGACAATGAAAAATGAAATTTCCTCCGGCTGTCTAGACATGTCACCAATGTTAATGAAGATCGAATACCAAGAAGAAGAAGAGTGTCAAGAAATGAGGAAACAAGAGCAAAGAAGAGAGGGAAGAAGGGGGAGAGTGAAGAGGGAGGAGAGGGAAGAAGGGGAAGGGGAAGAGGAGGGAGAGGGAAGTCCTGGGGGGTGGTGAGGTTGGAGTGCGGCCGCCTGAGCTGTGATGAAGGGAGAGGCTTAGCGAGGGCGGGAACGGGTTAACAGAGGATGCTTGAACGCCCAGGGAGTGTGTGACTGACTGACTATTTACTTTAAATAATATCTCTCCTACACTCGAAGTTAATTATCTTAATACAATAGATCTCTTTCTGTCCATCTAAAAGACATATACTTAATATTAAATAAACACCGATTTTATACACAGGCTCCCTTATACTCTAAAGGAATAAAACAAATGAAGGTTTGTTTATAAGAGTTGGCATCGTCTTTTGTTTCGTGTTTTGATGATTCAGTAACAAAATGGAATATCAATACTGTGTAAAGAAAATACTTCTACAATATTTCTTCCATATCCTCTTGAACACTGTACAGTTAACTTTATTTACTAATTAGTTTACTGGTAATACTTCTCAAATATCCCTCAGAACATTCGGCACTTTACGTTATTTACTTTTATGATAAACAAAGAGAAATCGTAAGTAATAAATCGTTGATATGATGAAGCTACTTTTACCTGAAGCCTTGGACAGTGTTGGTTTAATGACGCCTGGCAGGTGTTACGTGGCGCTCTTTACCCTGTGTGAGGAAGCAGTCTCTCTCACCGTACACTACCACCACCTGCTCATCACCACCTCCTCAACATCACACAGTCATCACCAGAACAACGTGTGGAATAAGAGTCGAAAGTGATGAAATATTGAGACGAAATTATAATGAAAAAAAAAAAAAAATTTTATACACTGACTGAGTTTAGGATTTTAAGGACGATGGTTAGGTTAGGTTAGGTTAGGTTATTTTCTTAAGGCGATATATTTAATCTTATGAGGATGACACTTTAATCCCATGAAGATTATAACCTTAATCCTCGTCATCAAAGGGTTAGGTTAGGTTATATTAATGAGTATATATTTCTAATAAAAGGTAAACACAAATTCCTACGTTAATATAAACATTAATATTAATGTTTACAGATGATCAATGGTGTTGACGATAACGACCGCTGAGGCATTCCATTACTGCCCAAATTTTTCCTGCTGCAAAAAAAAGAAAAAAAAACGCAGAAAAAAATCTAACTCCCCCTCCAATCCCCCACCTCCCCTCCCTCTCCCTCCCCCCC